TGAGATGTGACTGGTTCGGACATAACGTGAAAACCATGTTGTGTACGTCCTGAAGCTCTTTATTTCAGTCATGTATCGCATACCCGTATACTACGGGCTGCATTATGCGGGTATGCGGCTATGTGCATTAAACTTTGTATCTACCAAGAAGCGACGACAACAGTCGCCGGTAATTTAAGCGAGAGAACCTTTCGAAAATCCGGACTCGACAGCGTTGATCCGACGACTGCAAAGAATACCGTACATAAAAAAGGAGATGCTTCGTTATTGAATAACTACCGCCCCATTTGCATCTTAGCCTTTTTGAGTAAAGTAATTGAAAAACTGATCTGTACACGTCTCACAAATTACCTGAACAAATTTAATATACTATCGCCTTGTCAATTTGGCTTCCGTTCCGGCTACTCCAGTTACCTTGCGCTAATCTCACTTACTGACCAATTAAAAAAAGGCTATTGACAACGGTTACTATGCGGGCAGCGTTTTCATCGACCTAACTAAAGCTTTTGATTCAATCAATCATCATATTCTTTTCAATAAACTTGAAGCATTTGGTATAACTGGCCCAACATTACTATTATTGCGTAGCTATCTCTGCAACAGGACACAGAAGGTGGTAATTTCTAATGCATATTCGTCAACCAAATTAACTAATATTGGTGTACCCCATGGGTCCATTCTGGGGCCCCTTTTGTTTTTACTCTACATTAATGATTTGCCGAAATGCCTTTCTTCATTCAGTTGTATATTATACGCCGACGACACCACAATTTTTAACTCCGATAGCAGCATTACATCCTTAACTGGAAACTAAACTTTGATCTGGCACAACTCGTTCGGTGGTGCAGTAATAACATGTTAGAAATTAACACGTCTAAGACAAAATTTGTCGTCTTCTCTTCACCACAAAAACCCTTACCTTCTATCCCTCCTGTTATAATTGCGCGCAATGACATCGCTATGAGCGACTGCTGTAGATTCCTAGGCGTTGAACTCGACAGTAACTTGAAATACCACCGACATGTTGCAAAAAAAAATTACGTATGGCGTTCGACTACTGATTAAATCTCGTCTTTATTTCAATCCATCAATACTTATGTCACTGTATTTTTCTTTTGTTCATTCGCACATTTCTTACTGTATTACTTCATGGGGTAACACATAACCACTCATCTTATTTCAGTTCAGACAATTCAAAACCAAGCGGTAAGAATTCTCACGTCAAGCCCATATCTCTCTAACGCTAAGTCACTACTTCACGAAAACAATATATTAACTGTATCTGAGCTAGTTAAATATAACCTTGGTATTTACATGTATAGAACTATAAATAACCAACTTCCACACTTTACTACCATTCTCTCAAATAACAATGTCACAAGGTTTGCCCTTACCAATAACTTTCTACTGCCAAAAGTTCGCACCAATTATGGCAAACAAACCATTCATTTTTCCGGAATTTCTTTTTGGAATAGTTTACCTTCTGACATCCAAGTATGCCGTTCTCTGAAAGTAATTCAATCGAAGTTAAAAATTCATATCATGTCTACTAACTAGCCTGTTTTGCTGTTTCTTAATTGATTCCTGTTCATTCTGAGTTGCATTCTGTAATCACTTGTCATTGAAGTTAGCGCGTTATTCTTGCTCTTAAATTGTTTCTGTGAGATTACAAGGGTATATTCTTTTTTTATTTGTTTCAATTGCATTTTACTGTAGCTCTGTCTCCCTTCTATGTACATCACAATCATTCTCAATTCTACATTGTACAAGAGGTCACATTGCAGTCTCTGACTATGGGACCTCTTTCTGTATATCATGCACATGTATTGTTCTTCATTTAGCACAATAAAGCCTTCTGTTCTGTTCTGTTCTGTTCTGTTAATAAACATCAGGGTCTTGGCAGGAATCCAACCCAAGCATTCCGTGAGTAGTCATGTATTATACAACTAAACCATGCAAGGTCCTGAATCTACTTTGTAAAAGGCAGACAGCAAGTCGGTGCAAAATGAGTGTGGTTACAGTGCTAGCAATCTAAATTTATAACAAGAAGATAAACATTGAGCATGTACTCCCGCATTAAACTACCTTTCGTTCCTTCCTAAGTGGTCGTTAGCTGTATAAGATTGGCCTAAATACGATGTGTCATGCACGCATATTAGCTTGTTGCGTCAAGCAACAAATGACGCGAAAACGATCCATCGCGTAATAGCCACTTATGGACGACTACGTAAAAAATAAGAGAATGAACTATTTTTAAACATAAACACTAGGGAAACAAAGGCGGTACTATTCCGACCTAAAAATAAGCCCGTTAATGAAAACATACGTCTCAAGTATGGCGATACTTATATTGAGCTTGTAAATAGTATAAAAATTCTTGGAGTCACATTTTCGAGCAATATGCTTCGGAGTGAACACATTGACAGTGTGCTGAGTCAGTTATCTCGCGTAGTGGGTATGGTGTACTGTGGCAAAACTGTTCTACCATACAAGGTAAAACACTTACTTTATAAATCACTTTTTTATTCACATCTTACCTATTGTTTCTTGGTATGGGGGACAACAACTTAAACGAACTTGCAAAAACCGTACCTGATGCAAAAGAAGTATATTGAATCATTTTTAACTTGCCGTATGATGCTAACACAAGTGAATTGTTTCAACAGGCTGGAATACTACCCATACATTGTCTCTAAAATTTTCAGTTAGCATTGGCAATAAGGCGTGGATTGAAAGAAAGTCGACATTTTTTGCATGACCTCTCAAAACTGCAGCCATATATTACATTGTTTGAAACACCAAATAAAGAAACGTGGAAAATAAAAACTTCGAAAACAAACTACTACACAGATAAGTTATCCTACATAGTTCCTACGTTAATAAATATGTGTAAGCTGGCATAGAATTTTTGCACTGTACAGAGATTCAATTGCACGATATACAGATGTTTCGTTTTTAGGATTTCTTTGCAGTTGCTGTATTATCATAGTTGCTGTATTTATTTTTGGAATTTCGACTTGATTTTGATATCTTTATTTATTTTTATTTATTTATCTATTTGGTGTTGTTATTGTTGTTGACTTTACATTGCTGATTGTTTGCCACTGCTGTCGTGCTAAAAGGTAGCTGTGGGCCCTTGTCCAGCTGCCTCTTTTGGAGAGCAGCTTTTACCTGCAGCTGTCCTTCATCAAACTATTGATGAAAAATAAACATCATCATCATCATCATCATCATCATCATCATCATCATTATTATTATTATTATTATTATTATTATTATTATTATTATTATTATTATATTATTATTATTATTATTATTATTATTTTATATTATTATTATTATTATTATTATTATTATTATTATTATTATTAATACGCCATATTGTTTGCCATTGGTTCTTCGGCACTTAATATTTTCTGGATGCAATAAAATTGCCTGCTTGTTACATGACGTCCCAAATCTATGAAATGTCGTGATGTTTATTACAACGTATACTCAATAGACAACGCATTCAAGTGTTGAATAATACCATAAGTTTTATAGAGTTGCCGGAGAGCTTCTCTTTCGAAGTGTAATTCGAATAGGCTAGCCGCCAATGACAGTAGCAGCGTCTAACTGTAGCAGCTAGTGAGATGTATTGATATTAGTATAATAATATATTTTCACTATGCGGCATAACAGCGTTTAGCAGCTTGTGCGCATGTGCACCTCCGCGAGCTCACTCGTACTGAGAAAGAGAGGAACAGAGAGAAAGGAGCGCTGCACGCGTGCTTCTTTGCCGTACGAGTTATATTTTAAGATGTAAAAGACAAGTCATGTTAAATGAAAACCACCAACCAACCAACTAGCTCGACTCTAAATTAAGCCTCCATAGTGGTAAAAACCATACTTTTACCATCCTCTTGAAGTTGCTGGGCAAGCTTAAAAGCCGAGATTCCTACTGTGATGGAGTCCATAGCTTTATTCATTGCCACTTCGCAAGCTGCCGTCATCACTCCAAGTTGCCGTTAGCAAGGCTAGTAAGGTTTATGGGAGATTAAAGTGGAAAGCCTCTTTTTTTGTTTCCGGTATGGTAAAACTAAAACATTAAAAAAATTGTAACATTCGTGGGCTCAGCAGCTTTGAAAGAGCAGCGGTGATGCTACTTCTTTTCGATGAAAGAAAATTACTTTCCGGAAGCAGCAAATGATTTGACCGGTCGATAAAGTTTTCCCGTTCCCACCCATAGTTGCATCGGTCTGTCATGGCAAAATAAAAGCATTAAGTGATGCAATGCTACGGGGCCCCTGTTCAACGCTATAGTGCTGCACATATGAAAAAAAAAAAGGAAAAGACGACACAGACGTCAAGAAAGGTAGGCGCTAAACGCAAACTCGTGAACAGAACTTGCCGGTAGAGGCTCACTTGGCGGTACAGCTCCGATCATAGGATCTTGCATATGGCCCCTCAGCAGGCTTCATTCTGCCACCAGGACACTCGTCTAGGGTATGCAAGGTCCTACGTTCTGAGCTGTACCACCAAGTGCGTCTCTACCAGAAAGTTTTGTTTACGAGTTCGCGTTTAGCGCCTACGTTTCTTGACGTCTGTGCCGTCTTTTACCTTTTCTTTCATATGCGCCGCACTAATACAAGTAATGGCTCAGAGGGTGCTCACTTGAAGTACTGAAAGATTTTGGCTTTTCCCCAAAGTGAGCTAATCAATGTTACAGTGATGGTGTGTGTGTGTACGTGTGTGTGTGCCCGCGTGTGTGGTATGAGTGTCAATTCACTATAGCAGGCGTTACTATTTCATTAAAAAAAGGTTAACGAGCAAGTCCTTACAGGTGAGCAGAACAAAAAGAAAAACACTGTCGTAGACATGATCTCATGTCCTCTAACTATACCGAAACTTCGACGTCGTTGTAAGGCAAAGTGCTTATTGTGCATGTTGATGTGTTATGTCGATTTATGCATTCACCATCGTCAAGGTTCATTTTCCACCCCTCTTTTCGGCATCCCTAGGGAGATCTTCACGGACAAAGCTGGTTTGGCATTTTGCACCCCAAGGACATTACCAAAGTCAAAGACCAACTCTCTTCGTCGGACCTGGATCTGAAGGAAAGACTCATCGGTGCACAGAGTACGTGTTCGTTTCATTAACTATAGGTGGTGCCTCGTTATAACGGCAGTACTCAAGGCACTCGGCTGCTGACCAGCAGGTAGCGGGATGAAATCCCGGCCGTGGTGGCCGCATTATCGATGGAGGTGAAATGTCTTGGGGCCCATGTGCTTAGATTACAATCTTGTTAAAAACCCCAGTGGTCGAAATTCAGCCAACACTAAGGTGTCTCTTGTAAATATATGGTGGTTTTGAGACGTTTCACCTTAAGAAGTATTATTATTAGTAGTATTAGTAATGGCTGAAAAAAAAAACACATGTCGAACAAAGACTCTTAACACGACGTGTAATATCATAGTCTACAGCTTTCGTGGTGGCTACTTGTTTCGCTTTCAAGACAGAGGTGACAGTTTTTTTTTCTAATTCTTACTGTTGTAACGACGTGATACTTACACCCTCGAACCTAACAAGTTTTATAAAGGGTCACGAACGATTCTAACAGCACAAGAAATATGAAAATATAGCAAATACATCAAACAAGTGTATAGACGATTTTCCGCTCAAATGAGACTGTGATACACTCGCGTATGCTTACCTCAGTTAGAGATCTTGCCTGTAGTTTTACGTTCTGCTTCTTCATCCTGTATATAGACCTGGTGAACAGCTTCGTGAGTCGGGACATCCAGACTGCCGGAAATCAGGGCTACAATGAATGAAACGACGAGGCGGTCATGGCGGTCATTATGAGCTCGCTGGAAGCGGACGCTGGACTTGGTGGACCGGTCGACTCCAGTGGCATGCCGCGGCCCTTGCCTTGAAACACCCGTTCGCACTCCTGTTTACGCGGACCTCTCGCCAATTGTTTCTTGCGTCTAACAGAGAATAATGCAGCTTCTATGGACTCTCATGCGAAGACATTTCATCAGTCTGTATTCACTCCAAAGTGTGTGTACGTTACCGCACAGAATTCTAAGTCACGTTTCGGTAAAGACAGTGCCCAACAGGAAACGTTTCAAGGAACTGATGTCCATCTCTCCCAGCGCGCTTCGTGGTAAAACACGTGGCGTGCTTGTCGTAGAGCGTTGGTTTTATTATTAAGGGTTCCTGTGTTTAGCAGCGAGTTCTGCTTATATATAGTGATGTCGGTTGTGCTCCACTATTTCCCTGTCCACCGATTGACATGGGAAAATGTGATACAGCCACTTCGCAAGCATCGTTAAGATAAACTTTATACCATTGCTGCACATTACCTCAATGCGTAAACGCACACATTTGGAATATCAGGCCTCAGAAAAAAAAAATATTAACTAAGGAGCACTGTGACGAAGCACTGACAGTGGTAGAGTTTACTTGCAATCTGACTGGAGCACGTTAGAAGCTGCTTGTACGGTGCTCGTAAAACAGGCAGAACGATCGTCTGATTTACCTCGCTTCTGCGTCGTTTCCTTTGCAAAGCGTCTGCCGATGTCCATACTGTGAGCCCTCGAAGGCACGGGATTTGATGTAGGCTTTGGCGGACACGCAGTTGGAAGTGATATAGAGGTACGGTTTTGTAGACGCATCATGTCATATTCGATAAGTCTAGTGGTTGCAGCTGTGTGGGTGACATGTGAGCTGTGTTACCACGGAATACACTGAAACAACCTTTGCGGCAAAAGGAAATAAAGGTAAAACCAAGCAACAGTCTGTCACGTTGTGTGTGTTTGAATGGTGTGCTTGAATCCTGTTGTGTTTTAGTCACGATGATCTTAACGATCATCGTGGAGGCTTTATTCATGTCTTAAATTCCACAAGCAAATGGAGATATGCAGCCAACTGAATTGAGCGATGATTCTGTGACCGCCTTAAAGTGTCCGTTGCGACGATTATATAATTGCGCAATGATATTCTTTGGTGTATATGAGGAAAACCCGCGGCAAGTGTGCTCGTAAAATTAGGAACCGAATATGCGAATATTGTGTCAATATCAAGGTTATTACATGACGTTGCAATGTTATATTTCCATCAGCCCACTGTATTAAAGTTATTCGCTTTTTCCTGTTCAAAATATGTTCGAAGGATTATCACATGTTTGTTGCTGTTGTCGTTATTCTCTTACCCTTGTGCCATTGGAGGGTCGTTTGTTTGCGCGAGCTCCATGACGAGCGATCTTGTACAGAGAAAGAAGGTATTTCTAATGAGCCTAACTCTAGGCACTCATCGCACAGGTAACATCACTACCCCCATTTGAAGCATTCTATTTAGTGATGGCTTGGGCATTTGAAACTTCATTGCAAAATATTCACTTGGAACAGTGTGCTATGAAGCTAACCAAGGGTGCTACCTAATTGGTGTAGTTATCGGTGAGCCTTGTTAGAGCGAGTGTGGAATCCCGCAAAGTAGCGAAGGGTTATGAAAGGGAGAAATGACAGCCACACATTTGTGGAATGAACCCAAGGGAACATCCACAAGAATTTCTCGGAACAAATATCTTCTAGTTGAAGGAAAATTCGTCCTGGACCAGACTAAATTTTTTCTTCAACTAGAGCAATTCCGTGTACGCATTCTTATTTTGTTAATGCGGGAGACAGAGAGAGATGACCGAAGGACAGAGGCAGGGAGGTTAAGCTATGGCTTCGGTCATTGGGCTATTCTACTAAACCAGAAATCCATGGCTGAAAAATGACTCACACGGTAAAATATCTTCAATAAGAGAGGGTCGGCCTAACTTCTGCAAGTGTGCTTTTTTAGCTCAGTGGCTGAGACCCTCGACACTGGAGTGTGGCACAATAGGTTGGAAACTTAGTATGGCCTCGAAGTGTTCCTTTATTTTATGTATATTTATCTTTAGCGCTATAATAAGGTTGAGAGATACACACGTCCTGCAAGCCTCGGTCTTTAGCACAGTGGGTAAGACACTCGCCTTTGGAGCCTGAGGCCCTAGGTTCGAAGCTCGGTGCAGCGTTGCAAATTCTATTTATTTGAATCGTGAATTTCGTGAATGTCTTGATGGCATATTCACGAGGTTCAGAGATAGTGATGCAGGGCATGCTGGGACCTTTAGCCTAGTGGATAAGGCACTCGCCTTTGGAGCGTGATCCAGTAGTTTCAAAACTCAACGTCACCTGCAAGTTTTATTTTGTTTTCTATATATGTTTCTTCAGTCCGATTTGAATTATGTTGCAGAAAGATAGATGAATGCACGGACACCGTTCGTCATCGAGGCGTCTTGCATGCCATCGACGTATGTAGGCACTCCGCTCACAGTCTCCTTTTCGAGTAGTGTGAATAAATGCGTGAAAATCCATGAAATGTCGGAAAAGCCATGAATAAATATTCATTAGTCGAGTAAAAAAGCGGTAATACAGTGCAGGTTAATATGCAGGTGATGTTCTCAGGTTACAAACTGCAGGCTGGAGGGGATCAATAAGCGTGAAAATCATTGTAAGAAACTGTGATGGCTTTCCCGACACGACTGGCGGGAAAGCCAGAGCATCAGAGGGAGCTTCTGCTAGGGACGCTCCTAGGCGCTGTCGGGAATCCCTGGGTGCTGTGGTAGCGTGGTGTAGCTTCGGGTTGAGGAAACGACCGCTTACAAGATGGGGATACGAAAAACAAACAAGGTTTATGGCACTATTTACAAATATTTACAGCATGAGGTTAAGAGTTCACAAACCACGAGCGTGGTGGTTAAACCTTTAGTTGGTTCAGAGCCATCACATACTACGAACGTGGTGGTTGAACCTTTACTGGGTTCAGAGCCTTCACAAACTACGAACGTGGTGGTTGAACCTTTAGTTGGTTCAGAGCGACGTCCTGCACTCTGCGGCGCCGTTATAAGCCCTGTCGGGCTCCTCCTTCTTCAGTGGAACACCAATCACATACACACACAACAGGTGAGGGGTACGAGCATGCACGGCGCACGTGAACAGCCAATTTCGAGTCAAGATCACTGCACTTAAAGGTGGCGCCAGAGAGTCTCTTGCTCGTCGTGTATGTCGCTGGTCGAGGGGTTCCAAGCTTCGGACAACAGACATCAAACGGTCCGCCAATTTGTCCGCTCAATTAGCAGGGCACTTTGTGGCGGCGGTCGCCGTTTCTACAAAGGAAGACGCTGTCTTTGTCGTCCCCTCTGGAACGGCTTACCGCTTCGTGGCGACGTGACGTCTCATCCGCCGGCTAGCCGGGACAATACCTGGCGGGCATAAGCATTCGGCGAGTCGGCTACTTGTTTGAGGGTTAAAAGAGCGCCGCTCCCCCGTCAGATCTCGACGCTGGTTCCAAGAAAACCTGGGTTCCAGGCGTGGGAACGCGGCCCGGCTACGCTTCTCAGCGACAGCATGGCGCCTGCTGACGCCGGTCATAACAGCGCACATGAGGTCTGTCTTTGCACGGTGTGACGTTACGCTAATCAGGGGGAGCTTCAGTTTGGGAGACTCAAATATAAACGCACAGTATATCGTTCGTCAACAGTTGTGACGTCAGACAAAACTTGAGCCTTATCAGGGGTGATAAGAACCCCAACTTTTTCAGCCGCTTTTTTTGACATGCATTGCGGGAAAGCCAACGCATTAGGGGAAATTTCAGCTCGGGAGACTGATAATAACGCACAGTATATCCTTCGTTGAAAGTTGTGACGTCGGACAAAAGTTGGGCCTTATCAGTGGTGATAAGGGCCTCAACTTTTTCGGCCACTTTTTGGCATTTACTGTGGGAAAGCCGATGCACCAGGGGAAGCTTCAGCTCGGGAGACTGTAGTATAAAGAGGTAATATATCCTTTGTTGCACCGTGTGACGCCAGACAAAAGTTGAGCCTTATCGGAGGTGATAAGGGCCTAAACTTTTTCGGTTGCCTTTTTGACACGCTATGCGGGAAAGCCAACGCTTCAGGGGAAACTTCAGCTCGAGAGACTCTAATATTAACGCAAAGTATATCCTTCATTGAAAGTTGTGACGTCACACTAAAGTTTAGCCTTATCAAGGTTGATAAGAACCTCAACTTTTTCAGTTGGTTTTTGACATACAATGCGGGAAAGCCAACTCATGAGGGGGAAGCCTCAGCTCAAGAGACTCTAATATAAACAGACAATATATCCTTGGGCTTGTGGTGTGACGTCAGACAAAAGTTTAACCTTATCAGGAGTGATAAGAGCGGATACTTTTTCGGCTGCTTTTTTACTTGCAATGCAGAAAAGCACACTCATGAGGGGAAGGTTCACCTTGGGAGACTAATATGAACAGACAATATATTGTTTGTTGCGTATCGTGGCATCAGACAAAAGTTGGACCTTATCAGGGGTGATAAGGGCGTCATCTTTTTCGGCTGCTTTTTTTGACATGCATTGCGAGAAAGCCAACTCATGAGGAAAGCTTCAGCTCGGGAGACTAATATTAACAGACACTACATCCTTCGTTGCATGGTGTGACGTCACACAAAAGTTGAGCCTTATCAGAGGTGATAAGGGCCTAAAATTTTCGGCTGCTTTTCTGACATGCAAGGCGGGAAAGCCAACGCGTCAGGGGAACTTCAGCTCGGGAGACTCCAATAATAACGCCCAGTATATCCTTCGTTGCAAGTTGTGACGTCAGACAAAATGAGCCTTATCAGTGGTGATAAAGGCAACGACTTTTTCGGCCGCTTCTTGACATTTACTGCCGGAAAGCCAATGCATCAGGGGAAGCTTCAGATCGGGAGACTGTAGTATAAAGAGGTAATATATATCCTTTGTTGCACCGTGTGACGTCAGACAAAAGTTGAGCCTTATCAGAGGTGATAAGGGCCTAAACTTTTTCGACTACTTTTTTGACATGTAATGCGGGAAAGCCAACGCATTAGAGGAAACTTCATCTCGAGAGACTCTAATAATAACGTACAGTATATCCTTCGTTGAAAGTTGCGACGTCTCACAAAAGTTTAGCCTTATCAGAGGTGATAAAGAACTCAACTTTTTCAGCTGGCTTTTGACATGCACTGCGGGAAAGCCAAGTCACGAGGGGAAGCTACAGCTCGGTGACTCTAATATAAACAGACAATATATCCTTCGTTGCACGGTGTGATGTCGGACAAAAGTTTAGCCTTATCGGGGGTAATAAGGGCCACAAAGTTTTCGGCTGCTTTTTGAGATCTATTGCAGAAAAGCAAACGCACTAGGGGAAGCTCCAGCTCGGCAGAACTAATATAAACGTACAGCTAGATATATGTACCCTGGTAGCGTAGCTTCGATAGAAGCCCATGCATCAAGTAGTCCGCGGCTTGTTGCCACCATCGCCATCTATGTGAGGGAAGGATAACTAACAGCAAACGAAAAATAAAAATAAAATATGACGTCATAACCGGAAGCGGTAGCGATGTCGCGCACTTGCCCTATATTGCGCGAAATCGAAACTTTTCTTCACTGTTGACTGTTTACATGCCGTTATTACTACGCAGTACTATAGCAGCCTAATTGTGTGTAATTAATTGCATGCGAGAGAAAAAAATAAAAAAGCAAGGATAGTGAAAGCAAAATTGTTTTATTAGCCAAATGACGCACTTGCAATATGCACTGGAAACTTCGCAGAGGCAATTGTAAGACAACTGTTCACTAGCACAATAGCAAAACAGTTCGAAAACTCACGATGTCCAATCGTCGGAAACGACTGAAGCGAGACAGCAGCTTTGAAATATAGTTTTGGCAGCCATAGAGTACAGCGTCTCGTTGCTTAGCGTGTCGTGTTCCCCGTCACCGGAGGCGATCGCACGCTGGCCGTGCACCAGCAAAAGCAGTCGGCAGTCACGTGAGTGGCTCTCGATACAGTATATTAGCTAGTCGAGCTCTGAAATGTCACACCAGCAAACAGTGCATAACAAATAAGTAAACTAGCGAAGGTACGCCCGAAATCCCCACAGAAAAGTGAGTGATCCCTCGTTAGCCTGGCAATGCGCCGAACCAAATACCACGCCGAATCAAACACATGCTCCAAGACGAAACGGTTGGCTCATGTTACCAGACTGCCTGCATGCGCTCGCTATTTCTGAAACGAATCAAACAAAATTGGGCGCTCAACCACATACCAATACTAAAGTTT